GAAATGTGATCATCACACAAGGGACGGGCACGAGATCAGTGCTCATATATAATGAAGCCCTAAGTGGCCAGGCTTGCTGACCCTAGATCCATCTGGGTCTCAGTCATTCTGGAAATACCCTATAGAGCTCAGGGCTTATTTTATGCAAAGCAGATTGAGTGCATAAGGGAAATGTCCATGTATGGGGGAAAGGGACATTAAGGGTCTGGCCTACACCTACACTGTCATATCAATTACATTTGAATATAATAGATAGGAATCAGTTAAGCAGGACGCTAAACATACATTTGACTATGTGCTGAATTAGATAGAGTCTTGGTCAGAAGGCAAGTTTATTCATAAAGCACATTGCAACAACAAGGCCATTTAAAGTGCATTAAAAAGACATAGAGCAAAAATAATCACATTAGAAAATGAGATTTAAAAACAGCCATTAAAAAGAGAAGAGAATAGAAATAAAAGCAAGGCTGAATAAACTAGCCCATGTATAAAGTCCAAGAATAAAAGAGTGAAGTGTAAGATGAATAGTTATTTAAAGGCGGCAGAAGAAACAAGCAAAATAAGTGTTCTACTTTGAACCTGCAGTTTATCTCGGTTATAATGAGCATAGAAACGGAATGATGCTACTCCATCTTTACTTTTGAACTAACTGTTATGCATTTGTTCCTTTTTTAGTTTGTGGATGTTGCTTGGTCTCTTGTTCGGAGTACTGCCCAGTCGTTTCTTCAAGTGCTGTTGAGAAACATATGAGACAACTTGTTATAATATTGGTGACTTCAATTGCCCTCAGAAAGTGAAAGACTGAGAGGTGAGTCTGAAGAAGGTGGAGCATCAAACTTAAAACATTTGACAACATTCAATATATTTTTTAATTGGATGTAGTTCTGCAGTGAAGCCCAAATGTGCTTTATATTTGATGTCAGTAGTTGATGTTAAATGCCATAAGAACATCTAGTGCTATTACTTGTTGAGCTTTATGGTGTTGTTTCTCAGTTGTGTGAGTGTTGAGGATGAATTAGCATCTAGTCTTCTGGCACCCAATCAAACAAATCTAATTTGCAAAATCATTCAAACTTTTTAAGACAAAACTAGAATGTACTCGTTTTGGCAGAGGTGTAATACACAAGTGTGCACATCATGTTGTTGTGCCCACTGACTAATAACACATGTCACTTTAACAAAACATGATGCTATCTTTCACATTTGTTGCTTTAGTTATTGCTCATTAGGGACCTTTATATATTTTTGGGTTGCCATTTATTTGTGACAATGTTGTTTCTGTTTTTTTTGTAAGCAATCCCACTTATTTTCCTGTTTTTACATATTGTGTGATCTTAAATAGAGGTGTTGTTTTTCTGTGGGCAACTTTGTAAAAGCAAATTGGGATTTAAATATAGAATAACAAATATCAAACTTGTACAGTGTGTACAGCCCTATGAAATTACAGAATCAGCGAGTGCTACTTTCACCACAAATGTATTTTCAATCACAGCCAAAATCGACAACAAATAATATGATGATGATGGGTATGAAGTTGATCTAACATCCCCTTTGTTGAACATACATTTTCATCATTTAGAAAAAAGGTAAATTCAAAGAACAATAAATCACTCTTTCCATTGGAAATCTAATGTTGTGGTGCATTCAGAGCAAACAGAAAGCTAATGTTTCCCTCTCAAGTCGATGCACACACACACGAATAGAGGCATTTTCTTGGTGAGAGTTGACATTCGCTCTCCCAACATATCAGTATTCCACAACATGTACTAAAAAGCAATAAAGCTTTTTCAGACATAGTTGAAACATTGTTGGTATCTATCATGGATTTATTAACATTAACAATAGCCTGTCGAATCAGTCAAATTAATGGAGAGGTAAATTAACTCTAAATTCAGTTTTTTTGCGCATTTTCAAACTTTTAGGAGCATTAGGGCTAATTGAGTCTTTTACTTGGTAGTTGATTTCGCTTGAATAAAAAGATTTACGGACGTCTCTTTTCCAAGGTCATTTTTGTTGCCCAATGATGTCACAAACAGGCGCCCTTCAACGCCTGGCCCACTTCCACGGTGCTTGGTATCTGCATAAAGCCCCAACGTGCCCACATTAGCAAGTTGAATTATCACTAAGCGTCTGGTGTGAACATCATAATACCCACAATGCTAACGCTGAGCCTCTGAATTAGCAACGAGTGAAAAATGTAAACAGATTACTGCACAGAAACTTACTCATAAAACCCTTATTATTTATCTTTTCTGCACACCCAACATATCGACTGGCATAGTGAGAAGACACAAAATCGATGGGTACATACATTATCACTCTATGATAAGAACTCGCGGAGATATTAACAAGAACAGACATCAAAACATGTGGCGCTAGGTAGCTAAAAACGCTAACATGGCTCACCTTGGTCGTTAGTCTTCAATGGCATTAAAACGATAAAAACGCTGCTGAAGTTAATCCATAGGTTAATCCAATGTGTCTGTGTCCCCTTGAAATGATTTCTGATAATCCATAAGCAGTGTTGGGCAAGTTACTTGCAAAATGTAATATATTACATATTACTTATTACTCTCTTTTGAAAGTAATAAGTTACATTACAATATTACTGTCTCTGAAATGTAATGAGTTACACTACTTTAGTTACTTTTTAGTTACTTTCACCAAAATAACCGCAAAAGAATAGCTAGGTATTTTAAATGCTAAAATGTAGTTTAGTGCAGCTCATTATGCATCCAGTGAAGGGCAATGTGGTATAGCATAACAACTGTGTAGGCCCTTAAGGCTACTAACAACTTGTATTACAGGGCTTAGTTGAATACTCGATTCTGATTGTAAATTCTTNGTGCTCTCTAAAAATGCCGATCGCGAGAGCCGATCGAATGACGTGAAATTAGGACGTAAAATACATGACACTTTTCTCTGTGCGCGGAAAAACAAGCTCGCCAAAATGGCTTCACTGGTCTGGCAGTATTTTAAGTGTCTGAAAAAGACAGTAAAATA